TCTGGGGCGGTATTGTGGGACACACTAACACATCACCTAAAAGCAGCCAGGACCCTAGCAGCCTTCAAACAACTTTATGTACTGGGTAATCATTGATATGCAAATTCCAAGCCTGATTTTAATCTTGATTCTTTTTTGTCCTACCTTGGTTCTATGTTATATGATGGCCAGGCTTCACTTTTATTTCACTTATTTTGGTATTATAATTTCATGCGCAATGTATGCTACTTAAGTTACCTTGCTTTTGTATTATTTAGTATCTTTTGTAACTTTATAAGTTACTTTTGTTGTTATTACCTTCGCCAAGAAGGTTATGTTTTCAGTAGCGTTTGTCCGTTTGTTGATTTGTTTGTTTGTGAACAGCATAACTCAAGAAGCTTGGTATGGATTGTCATGAAACTTGGTACGTGGTTAGGACTTGATGAGATCTAGAAATTATTAGATTTTGGGCCCCCTGGCGGCTTTTGTTGGTACTGCAGCAGAACTTCCGGTTTTGATATCTCGCGATCTAGATATGCTAGGGTCACGAATTTTGAATGACAGATAGCTCTTGGGGTAGGAAAGAAGTGACATGAGTTTGGGCCCCCTAGCGGCTTGTTCTGGAACTGCAGGAGCATTTGTTGAAAACTTTTCAAAGGATGATAACTCAAGAACCGGTTGACGGATTGTCATGATTTTTGGATGTAGGTAGCTGAAGTGATGCTTGACATAATCAAATGACAGTTATGCAAATTAGGAGCTAATTTGCATAATTAATGAGAAAATTCTATAAATCTGCTTTGTTCGATAATAGGACTATGAAACACTTGTGACATGTAATTGAGAATAAAAAAACATCTGAGGATATAGATTATGTAAATGAAGACCTAATTTGCATAATTAATGAAAATTTTTTATAATTTCATAGTTGTAACTACTGGGAATTTCATACTTGCCACATTTGGAAGTTAAGTGAAGGCGAACATCAATAAACATAATTTATTCAAATCATGACCTCATTTGCATAATTTATGAGGAAGTGCTATAATAGCCTTTTTGTTAAGATAAGACTGTCATTAGGTGGAGAATATGATCAACTGATATAATCCATGCAAATGAGGATCTTATTTGCAAAATCAATTATCAAAATTGTATAATACTTCAACCGCAAGGGTTAACATCATTTGGCGAAGGTATGAGATCGTGGAACTCTTGTTAGTCTATATAACTTGGTCTCAGGTCTAAAAACAGAGCAGTTAAACACGGGAAACACACCTGCCACACTGATCACGTCTCTAGTTCACTGCATATAAAGAAGGACAGAAACACGTCACCATGGACAGGCAAATACCGGGAAAAACCTCGCAATGTCATTTGCTTCCTTGTAATAACAACTTCCCTTAGGCGTATGCGTAACCCCAGTGACAACCAAGTAAGCTCGAAGGAACCGGACAGTGTGTAAACTTTTTATTGAGCTTGTGGAAATGTTTTCTCATATGTCGTCACTTCCAGGTCATTTATCTTAACAACAAACATTAGGTTCCTCCTATGTTCACCTGTGCGAGTTTCCTCTTTGCAACATCGTACAATTCTTCATGGAATGCCCCGCTAAGAACAGGTGTAAGGAAAGATTTCATGCCTTCTCTTCGTCTTCAGTTCAAATCTACAGGGGCAAGTCCCTTTGGCGTTGTTGAATCTTCTCTGTTTACAAAAACTACCGCCATAGAGTTACTGGGCAAAAGGAGGAAGTTTGATACGCTTCACTGCGCATGAGTTCTCTGTGCACGGTCTTTTGTTTTGGCGACGCCCCAGGGGCGGAAGGTAGAACATATCAATTTATTTGCGGAGCCCGCCCGTAGCCAGGATTTTGAACGGGGGGTTCTTCCCACTGCTTGAGGGACCAGCGAGCACCGGAAGGCGCGAGGTTCCTATAAAGGGGGTCCGGGGGCATGCTCCCCCGGGAAATTTAAAAAAATGAACCATCTGAAATGGCATTTCCTGCGTTTTTTAGAGGATTTCAAAGACAAATCAGAGATAACTTTTTATTCAATTATAGAATGAGCAGTTTTTCTACGATGCCAGCCCCGCTGGTGCTACGAATCAATCTTTTAAAGAAAAATCTTGGACCTTTAGATAAAAAGTGGACCAAAAAGTGGACCTTTGAGCCTTGTGTGTGTGTGGGTGGGGGGGG